TTTTTATTAGTGTTAATCACGTTTAATCCAGCCCATTGAAATACAAAGTTAGAATCTTCAATTTACACCCGCAGTCAATAACTTGCCGCATTTTCGTTGGCTAACCCTAAGGTAATTTTATGTGAACAAGTAGCTCATAATAATTTCACAGAGGAAATCCAAGTATACAATGTATCAATCCTATGTTCACATAAAATAAGGTAGAGTTAGCCAACGAAAACGCAGCAAGCTGCGGTTTCATTGTAAATTTTCACATTGTATTTCGATGGGGTGGATTAAACGTGATTAAAACTAATAAAAAGACCACAGGTAATTACAAAAACATTTTATTTCAACAGCTTTGACATAGGTGCAAAAGACACTGTAAAAAAATGTTTGAAAAATGAAGGTTTCAGGAAGTTACAGGGTGGGGGGTATACTACAAAAGTACCGAATGTCCTATCTTTGCTGTCGATGAGGTACGTTTTTAGTTCTTTCATTGAAAAGTCATCAGGCACTTTTGCTAAATTTCTATTCCAACTGCTCCCATGAATGTGTTTTTCGAAAAAAATCAGGTGTTAACATGTTACGAAACTTTGAAAATTCAGATTGAAATGAGCACTCCTCGATATGGCGTCCGTCGTGTACACTCCACACTTTCCCCCTGAAACTTCAAATCCCGCAAAATCTCGCGTTCCCACGGATAATTTAGCGGAAGTCACGTGACCGTGGAAAAGACTCTATTGCATTGAGGATGTTTCATTTTAGCTCGAGCCATCGGAATTTAAACTATATATATAACTAGGTTCAAATTAAACTGGGCCTGATGGAAACATGTCTCATATATGAATATCCTACCGTGGCAAAGACATTTGGATGCGGAGACTTTTTCATTTTGTAAGCACAGTGTGTCGCCCTGAGTGGTGAAATAACGTGAAGATGGTACCTACATTTTAAGGACCATGCAGTAAGTTAAAGTTGAGTGTCGACCGCGGCAAGACGATGAAAATTTTTGTAGTGAGAAGAGAGCTACTTTGGGTGGTACTCTTTATGGTGTGTATATTTTTGGCCACATTGTACAGAGCCTACAGGAGTCAAATAGAGCTCCATAATCTTCTTCAGTATTGCCTGCGTCTTCATTCAGTGCAGACGATCCCCAGTACGTCACGTGCGTGTTACGATGGAAACGCCACCCCGCAAACGAATTCCCAAGGTGCGTCATCACAAACAGAAGATCTTCGTATTATCACAAGGCCCGATAACGACGGAAATGTTGCCAACATAAATGACGTAAGCATATACGAGAAATTTCTTCGCGTTCGGACAGTGTTAAGGAAGCGCTTAAATACCACAGGTGTCAAATGGTATGATGATAATTTCGCTCATCTGAGTAATAATACAGGTGATTACCAGGTGGACGGGAAGCCCTTAATATTTATGTACTGGGATGGCCCAAAGTATCCTGCATACATAGAGCTGTGCATCTTGTCTGTAATCTGCCACAATTACCGAGATTTCAATATTTATCTCTTGAACAACACGGAGTTTAAAAGAAGTTTCCAACACGTGAATGTTGCATTCGATTCACTAACAGCCAATCACAAGGCGGATTACTTTCGTGCCACCATGTTAGACAGATATGGCGGCATATATCTCGACGTTGACACCCTCAGTTTCAAAAGTGCGAAGAACAATCATGAATTGTTATCTAAGTACGATTTTATCGCTTATGAAGACGATAAAAATGGTGTGTATACTTCTAACCTCGGGCCCATCCGCGCCCATACTTCTTTAACCATGGGGTGGGTTAAAGAAATGAACAGATTATTTAATCTAAAAAATTCCCAGGAATCACTGAAGGCGGGAAAAGATCCGTTTTCCTGGCCAGCATTGGCATACGATATATTTATTCCACTGTTCAAAAACTTGACCACAGCACAAAAACTGAAAGTTTACAAAATGGATGCCTCTCGGACATGGGGTCAATTTGATCATAATGACGTTATGTCCCCACGTGATTTAGCACGTGACTTACAAGATACGGATTTCCTCATTCTGAATAATGCTCTTTATGCTCCAGAATTCAGACAAATGGACAGCAAACAGATATTACATAGTCCTCTGGGTGTCTCACAGCTTATAAGATTCTCGTTTGAAAAATGTTGGACTAAGTTAATGAACGATGGTCTTGTATAGCAGTTTAGCAGTAGTTTTTATGAAATTGTGAGCAACTGATAAAAATAGGGATCATTATTCATTAAATGGCGGTATATTTTAAAAATCCACGTGCTCGCTTGATAGGTGTCATTCAAAGCATGTATCTAAAGTTTTTCTGCAATATTTCTTTCTTGTTATGCTATTGTATAGCTGAAGCCTTTATTTTGTTGCTTGCCTTAGTTTCAGCTGAATTGCATTTTTGCCATCTGCGAGACGATTGACAATGTCAGGAAAAAAATAACAGCAAATCATTGTGTTGTCACACCAAGAAACACATGGATTCACCCCGGCCCTTTTTAAAATACAACATGGTGGATTCAGCCCCTTCTCTGTCACGCCTAAAAAAGTAAAGACACGCTTTGATACCCAAGAATCACGTTATAAATATTTTGAAATATCCCGAGTCGCACTTTGCATTTTGAAATTTCCAGGATCGAAACCCTCTTTTCCAGACCGGGATGTGGGAGGGATCACACCCAATGAATTCGTTTTACGGCACCCTTGCCAGTGCATCTACTGTTTGATTTTTGTTACACAGGCCAAACATAACCCTGGAATGAGTAGTCTAGAGGAGATTACTTACAACAAAGTTGGATAATCGGCAGCCCTTGTCGTTACCAGTTAACTCTGGACGCCGGGGTGATCTTTAGGTGCACGAGAAAAATTTAGGTTTCAGCCGGGCTGTTCAAAATTTAGAAATTTGTTTTAAGAAAAGCGTTTTGAAAAAAGCGTGTAGAATAAAAAAATTGAGTATGGAAAACTCAGTCAAATGGACCATTTATTGTATACTGATATTTAACGCACCTAGGGGTCTGTTTCACAAAGGATCTTAAGCATAAACTGGTCAAAACTTTAAAATCAACAACTGAGTCGTCTTTAGGCCTATAGTTAAAT